CCGATTTCGTCTAAACTCATTTAGCAATTCAATTCTGCTTATGAGGAAATCAGGGCTGTTTAGTTCTCGGTTTTTTGGCTATTTTAGAGAAGGACTCTCGATTCAGAGATCGTTCCTACCACGATATGTCGGGATTCGGAGATCCCTCCTACAGAAGAACTAAATGCCTCTATGAGGAGATCACAACATGACTATCCGAGTCGGTATTGTTGGCACAGGTGGGATTTCACAGGGCGCACCAGCGGACCTACACGGCAGTAGGCGGTTTCGAGATCGTCGCGGTGTGCGACATTATCAAAAGTAAGGCAAATGAAGCCGCCGAACAGTGGGGTGTCCCGAAAAAGCACGTCTTCTCAAGCTACAACAAGATGCTTGAAATGGACGAATCGATACGGTGAGTGTTTGTACTTACAACCAAGGACATCGGCGTCCGACGGTCGCGGCATTGAATGCCGGTAAACACGTCTTCTGTGAGAAACCGATGGCGGCGACACTTCCCGATGCCACCGCGATGGTACGGGCAGCGAAAGCATCAGGCAAAATTCTGCAGATCGGTCTCCACAGCACGTTCAATCCGAGACTCCAATTCGCGAAGAAGGTCATCGATGAAGGATTGCTCGGCGATATTTACTATTCCGAGTCCTCGGGGGGCAGACGACGCGGGAACCCTGGGCGTACGTTCATCTACAAAAAGACGGCGGGTGCCGGTGCGATTGTAGATATCGGTGTCTATAACATGCACAATTCGCTGTATGCGATGGGGTATCCGAAACCGGTGCGAGTCTCCGCCATCACTGAAGATTATCATTTCGCAGCAAGACCCACAATTCCGTGGTATCATGGATGTCGAAGAGTTCGGTGTAGCGTGGGTCAGGTTTGAAGATGGCGGCGTGATGGTGTTCAAAATCTCTTGGGCGATTCATCAGGATTCGCTCGGTCCGAGTTTCTGTCTCGGTAAAGAAATGGGTATCGCCTTGGATGGAGCTGTTGTCTATGCCGATGCCTATACCGATGATCTCAAGAAATTGGTGAAATCGGAAGGATTGACAGCAGAACCGAACCCACCGGAAGGGGATGACGACGATCCGTTTCTCAGGATTCCCAGAGGTCGATGTTTGGGAAGCACAGATGACGGCGTTCCGAGAAGCCGTCAAAGCAGACGCTCCCTCCCCGATACCACCAGAGGGTGTGCTGCTCACGAACGTAATTATGGACGGTATCTTCCGCTCACATGAATCCGGAAAAGAGGTTGCGGTTCGAGTGCCGGAGATTTAATAGCGATCAGCAGTCAGCGGAGAGGACATATTTAGTCCCTACATATTTTTATATTTCACCATAAACAGGGCTTACGCACAATTGGGACGCACGCCGATAAACCGGTGGTCAGATTTCAAACCTCGCCAGCAAATACGGGGAATTCGCGTCAGTCCTACATAAATTGATTATGAGGAGATAACAGTATGACTGTCCGGGTTGGTATTATTGGTACGGGTGGCATTTCACGTGCGCACCAGAGCACATACGAGAAAGTAGGTGGTTTTGAAATCGTTGCGGTCTGCGACATCATCAAAAGTAAGGCGAACCAAGCCGCTGAACAGTGGGGTGTCCCGAAAAAACATGCCTTTTCAAGTTACAACAAAGATGCTTGAAATGGACGAGATCGATGCAGTGAGTGTCTGCACTTACAATCAGGGACATCGGCGACCGACAGTCGCGGCATTGAACGCCGGTAAGCATGTCCTCTGTGAAAAACCGATGGCGGCGACGCTCCCAGATGCGACCGCGATGGTACGTGCAGCAAAGGCATCAGGCAACATCTTACAAATCGGTCTCAATCCAACGTTTAGTCCCGAGACTCCAATTTGTAAGAAAGGCGTTCGATGCGGGATTATTCGGCGATATCTATTACTCTGAATCCGCAGGATGGCAGGCGACGCGGGAACCCGGGACATACGTTCATCTACAAAAAGACAGCGGGGGCGGGGGCGACCGTCGATATTGGTGTCTACAACATGCATGCCTCGCTGTATGCGATGGGGTACCCAAAACCGGTACGGGTCTCTGCTATCACCGAGGATTACATTTCGCAGCAAGATCCAAGATTTCGGGGTATCATGGATGTTGAAGAGTTCGGTGCGGCGTGGGTGCGGTTTGAAAACGGTGGTGTAATGGTGTTCAAAATCTCCTGGGCAGTGCATCAGGATTCGCTCGGTGGCAACTTCCATCTTGGGACGAAAGCGGGGTTCTCGTTGATGGACCGGTTGTTTACGCCGATGCGTATGCCGGTGATCTCAAGAAGTTTGTCGAATCAGAGGGATTAACAGCGGAACCGAACCCGCCGGAAGGGATGACAACGATCCGGTTTTTAGGATTTCCAGAGGAAGATAACTGGGCGGCACAGATGACGGCGTTCCGAGAAGCCGTCAAAGCAGACGCACCGTCCCCGATACCGCCGGAGGGTGTGCTGCTCACGAATGTGATTATGGACGGTATTTCCCGTTCGCACGCGGCGGGGAAAGAGGTTGCGGTTCGGGTGCCAGAGATTTAATAGCGATCAGCAGTCAGCAATCAGTCGTCAGCGGAGAGGATATATTTAGTGCCTACAGCGTATCTCATAAATATTTTGAGGGTATTCCAATAAGAATTTCCCTTTGGAAGAAACCCCCTAAATCCCCCTTATCAGGGGGACTTTGAGGAGAAATGCGTAAGTCCTAATTCTTCATAAAACCGCATCTACTGACGGCTGACCGCTGACGGCTGACAGCCAATTTCAAACCGCACCTACCTTGTTTTGGGGCAGACAACACACATCCATGCGCGCGTACCGCGCACATCCACTGTCAATTGCTGGGCAACCCTGAGAGAACGCCGTTGCTTCAGATCATCATTAAGCAGCCTGTGTTGTGAAGTGAGTAGCACCATCCTCCCTCTCGGTCTCAGGACGCGCTCGTATTCTCTGAGACATTGACGATATAGACTCGTAAGCTCCGGCACATCTCCGACGGTCTCTCCGAACGGGAGATTACAGACAATTTTATCAACAGTGTTTGATCGTAACGGCAAACTCTGTGCGTCCCAGTGAAAGAATTGACGCGGCTGATGTTGCCTCCCGAAATTCGACACGGTCGCGTCCAAAGCATCTGTAGAGACATCGCCGCCGATCAAGTAACGATACCGTTTGATAAGTGCGCGTTCCAAAAGGATAGTCCCGGCACCACACATCGCGTCCAAAAAGACATCCTCTGGATGTGGTCGTGAAAGGCGCACCATACTGTATGCCAAAGTCGGTTTGAGGGATGCGGGTATATGTGCCTGTTTATACGGACGTTGCGCCATATCGTTTGGGGAAAGCTTGACGCTGATATAGCCGTCGTCTCCATGGACTTCTGCCCAGATATCTAAAAGCTGAGTTCGCCGGTGTCAGATACCATCCCCGATCCAGTAACGTCCGTTCAATGACACTCTGCAGATCAACGCGTCGGAAGTTGCGTTTTCCTGAGAGTCGGCTCGTTACCCGAAACGGCATCCGTTTGTGGACAGTGATACCCACCTGCCGACAGCAATTAAACGTCTCTTTGAAATTGAAACGCCCGAGTGAACTTCTCAGTGCGGCTAAGGAGCTGCGTGAGCGTGTCATCTTCGGCATCTGCTTTAGAATGAGAAAGAGATGCTCAGCTGTTCGGAGGGACAGCAATTCCCGCGGGTTACCAGTATACTGGAAGAGGATCCGTTGCGGTTTCCGTTCGATATTTTTCAGATGTCCGGTGTCTGCAAAGCGTTCCGATAACTCCTCGCGTGCGATGGTTTCGAGCCCTGCGCTTACAGTGATTGCATAAAGCATGATTTTTAAACTTACCTTGCGGAGAAACGACGTAGGATTGACATTTTTAAACTTACCTTGCGGAGAAACGACGTAGGATTGACATTTAACGTGCCTTTCTTCGTATCCGCCCTCCATTTCATTACGGGCTACTGCTTTGTCATGTCAAAGTTGATAGGTGAAAAGATCGTGAGCACAGCTCGCTCCTACAGGAAGAACGCCGTCAGGAGACCCGAGATCTAAACTTTTATATCCATCATTTGGAACTTGACTTAGCACTACGGTCTCGTCTGAACCGTGATTTTTGCGATAATCCGCGTCAATCAGCGACTTAGACGAGCATTAATGCAGTTAGGGACTACACCTACTGGGGTTCGGGCCAATTTAAGTGGCGATGTAGGAACCGGAACGTCCCAGCGGAATTAATTTGATGTCCACCGTCAAAGAATTCGATCTCCGTTCTATCAGCGATACCCAGTTGAACGAAAAGCCGTCGAACGACAGCGAATTCGTGTGCGACCCATTCATCCGGAGCAACACCGTCTTCATGTCCACGTTCCACCATGAAGGGGCGCGGTGCGATCAATCCTGCCATCTCACCGTAGTTGAAGGTATTCCCTAAATCGAACTCGGGCATCTCATATTCACCCGTGAACATATAACTGTACCGAGAATAATAGGTCGCATTTTTGACGATCCACTCGTTGAAATCAGCGGAACAGATTGAGCAGGCGTAACGTTCAAGCAGGGCAGGGACGCGCATCGCCGTTTTGCCACCGTAAGATAACCCGTAAAATCCAATCCGATCCGCATCAACAAAGGACTGTTCCGCGAGCCAATCAAGTGTTCGCTCATGTTGGCGGACGATCAAGGAAAAGAGCGACCATTTTACCGGATTCGCCTTGCGTTGAAGGACGCGGAAGGCATCTACACACCGATATACGGATTCTGTGGCGCGTAGACGACGAACCCTCTATCCGCTAACTGTGCGGCGTAGAGTGATAGACAGATTCTATTCTTGGGTCAGCGGTATCCTGCGGTCGTCCCTCTAAGCCGTGCTGACAAACGACAACGGGACGCTCTTCACCCGGCTGGAGATCGTTCGGAAGAAGCAAGATACCGTAAGCGAAAACGTCCTTCCAAACATCAAGAACGACTTCGTAGCCTTTCCAGAGGGGTTTCATCGTAGATGAGCCGCGTCCTGGGTTGGCGGAACATCGGGTGGTGGACACCTACCGATAACCTCGTCCCAGAAATAGGCTTTGGCATCCGTACACGTTTCCTCCCATCGCGTGAGCGAAGAGGTATCAGTTTTATCCCAGAAGAACTGCTGCCGTCGCGATGCGGCTTCTCTCAAAAAGCGTTGGGATAGATTCACCAGCTGCATAAACTGTCGCTGCTGACGTGCCTCGTAATCAAAATCGTCAACCGTGCTTGAGGAGAGGAGATAGTGGCTGTCAATACGTGCGTTTTCAACACCGAGTCCAGTAAGCAAAGCAGTTAACGCTTCCTCAGAACCCGGTAATCCATCTACAGGAGAAACGAGACGCAAGGCATCGCCGCTGTCAAGCATTTGATAAAAACCGTGAGCCCGTTCAAACTCCGACTCTACTGCATGGATCGGTGGTGATACCAACTGTCCCGGCGCAGCACCACCCCGTCCATCGCGAACGGATGGCGGACCGGCGACTTCAGGTCCTCGGCTTGTTTCGACAACCAACGGACGCGGCGCAATAAGACTCGCAATTTCAGCATCGCCAAATTCGTGTAGCAGTCCCCACACATTTCGATAGATGGGTTCTCGCCAGACCTCCTGCCGAGATTGGAAATATCCACTGACAGCCGTCGCCTGAATCCGCGTATCGACTGCCGCACTGTAGAGCGCAATCAAACCACCTTCGCCGTACCCAATTACACCAATTGGGGCATCGGATTGAGACATCCAGTCCACTAACGACAACACCTTCTGAACTTCATACCCGATGATATTTCTTCCGAGTTCAAAACGCCATCCGATAGATAAATTCGCGGTGCGGTTGATTCGTCATCGCGCCGAGGGTCGGGTTTCCTGAATAGGTATCGTCTCGGTTAATCAGAAGTGGGACGACGACACGACATCTGCCTTCGCCAAACGTCTCGCAAACTGGATATTCGCTGGCAATTCATCTGTTATCCCCGCTATCGTCTCTGGTGTCCAATCGGCATCGGGTAGGGCAACAATCTGTGCAGTAATTGGGACATTCTGCTTCGGTTCCAACAAAAGTCCTTCGCCCTCTACCTCCTCGAAAACCTGCCATCGAACGCGGGATACCGTGTAATTCTCATCTTCTGTGAGACGGGCGGCGGTTTTTGTCGTGGCAATATAGGTGAGTTCCTCAATTGGCAGCCGTGGATCGAGGCAACCGATCCGCTTTTGAAGACGGGCGCGGTTTGGTTCGACAGATTCGGTATACGCATTGTGTGAACTATAATCTCGATTCCACAATCCTTCCCGTCCTTCGACAGAATTTGCCACAGCGCGGGAAACATAACCATCAAGTACCTCAACCATCTGCGCGGCGAGGTCACCTTCCACCGTTAAAGGGGTCGTTCCATGTAGCGTTTGAGCGGTTTCGTTTGACATTTTTTAATTTTACCTTGCGGGTAAATAACGGGCATTAGAACTATCGGAGACCTTCCGGTATATCCGCCTGCGCCGTTGTTGCAGGCTACAGGTCCTGTACAAATTCTGAGGGCGTTGTGCCCCGACCAAATTTTAATTTTACCTTGCGGGTAAATAACGGACGTTAGAACTATCGGAGACCTTCCATTATATCCGCCTGCGCCGTTGTTGCAGGCTACAGGTTATGGAATCAAGCGCAGAACAGAGATCCATAAATTAAAAGCCTTTTGGGTTATCCTTAACAGGACTTACGCAATTTTGAGCATTACCCGCGCCCTGAAAGAGAGATCGTATAAAAAACGCAGACGGTTTCTTGACACAACCTAACAGGTTATGCTACAAAAGAGCAACGTGCATAAGTCCTACTTAAATAACCCCGTGTCGTCTTAACTGTTCCACTTCATCTGGATGCATTCCCAACAAGCCGGTGAGGACCTTGTCCGTATGTTCTCCGAGACTCGGTGCAGGGGCATCTACGTTTCCGGGTGTTTCCGATAGTTTAATCGGTACTCCCGGCACCTCCACTTCGCCTGTGATGTGATGTGCGACGCGTGTAATCATCTCCCGTGCTTGCACCTGTGGATGACTAACGACTTTGTCCATTGCATTGATGGGACCACACGGCACGCCAATGGCTCCAAGCGCATCGATCCAGTCATCAGTCTTCCGTTGTCGCCATGATCTCCGAGAGAATAGGAAACAATTCACTATGGTTCTCCGTTCGATCGGCGTTCGTTCGGAACCGCTTATCTGTATGAGTTCCTGCCGATCAACGTGTTCACAGAACTTTGCCCAGAGCGTATCGTTTCCGATTGCGATAATGACGTGTCCATCCGCAGAGACAAACGCTTCAAACGGTGTAATTGCGGGGTGTCTTGCCCCCAAGGGTTTAGGCGGTTCGCCCGTAGCAAAATAGCGGACAACGGCGTTTTCCAAGACAGCAACAAGACTATCTAACATGGCAACATCGACAAACTGTCCACTCCCTGTCTGATTACGATGGTGCAATGCGGAAAGGACACCGATTGTCGTGAAGAGGGCAGCCGTGATGTCGCTAATAGAGGTGCCAACACGCACTGGGGGTCCCCCCGGTTCACCCGTGATGCTGATGATACCGCCTATGCCTTGGATAATCATGTCATAAGCACCTTGCTCGGCATAGGGACCGGTCTGTCCGAAACCGGAGCACGCGGCGTAGATAAGCGATGGATGCTCGACTTTCAGCGAGTCGTAGTCCAACCCCAATTTTTTCATCGTCCCCGGACGGAAATTCTCAACAAGAACATCGGTCTGCTTCAACAACTGCTTGAATATTGCCTGCCCACGTTCAGTTTTAAGGTTGAGCGTCACGCTCTGCTTTCCACGATTCACGCTCATGAAATAGAGGCTAAACCCGTTTTTGAAGGGACCAAAATTTCGAGATTCGTCTCCTGTACCGGGCTGCTCAATCTTGATTACCTCTGCTCCGAGGTCACCGAGGAGCATCGTTGCATAGGGACCGGCGAGAACTCGGGTTAAATCCAAAACCTTCATTCCATCGAGGGGTCCTGCCATCAGCTATCTCTCCCGTGTGCTACAATTTTTCACCAACGATGAGGCGATATGCCTCGCGATATTTCTCACTTGTTTTAGAGATAACAGTCTCCGGCAGTTCAGGCGCGGGCGGTTGTTTGTTCCAACCGATTTCGGAAAGGTAATCTCTCACAAACTGCTTGTCAAAACTCTGCTGCGGTTTACCGGGTTCATAGAGATCCGCGGGCCAGAACCGAGAGGAATCCGGTGTAAAAACTTCATCAATGACGATCAGTTTTCCATCGCGTTCCCCGAATTCAAACTTGGTATCGCAGAGGATAATCCCAGCACTTTCGGCGTGTTCAGTGGCGGCTCTGAAAAGTGCGAAACTGGTATCAATCAACGTATCTGTAAGTTCGCTGCCGACCTCGTTACGCATCTCCTCAATGGAGATCGGTTCGTCATGCTCACCCTCCTCGGCTTTTGTCGTTGGCGTGAACAGAAGTTCTGGAAGCCGGTCAGATTCCTGTAGTCCGTCCGGGAGCTTCTGACCACAGATTTCTCCCGTCTTCTGATAGGAGGACAAACCGGAACCTGCGAGGTACCCGCGCACGACACACTCAACATCAACCCGATCCGCTTTGTGGACAAGCATGGAGCGTCCCTCCAAGAGTTCTGCATCGGGTTGCAAAGCGTCGGGATACTCTTCGACCTCCGTTGAAATGAGATGGTTGTCGGCGACGGATTCGGTGTACTTGAACCAGAATTTGGATAAACCGGTTAAGACTTTTTCCTTTATCTGGAATGCCGTTCGGTAGAACAACATCAAAGGCGGAAATACGATCTGTGGAAATGATCAGAAGTTCGTCCCCGAGGTCATACAGATCTCGGACTTTTCCACGGTGTGCAGGTGTATAATTCGTTAAATTTGTAGACGTGATAACGTTCTCGGACATATTTGCCTTATTAGTGTCTCGCAGTGAGCTCGGTTATCGGTGCGTTAGAAACCGCACTACCGCTGGTCTCAACAGAACTCTTTGACTTACTCACACTATTACTTTTCTTTGAGTAGATTTTGTAGCACGATGGCTGTTCTATTTGTAGTTTCAATTTGGAGTACCTTGTCAACTTCCTGTTTTGCAGACGCATCTTCGCCAAGATAATAGTAGCATGCCGCCTTAAGCACATAGAGTTCGGCTTGGAACGATAGTCGTGCCGGAAGAGATATTGGGCATCACCCTGTAGCGCATTATCAATCGCTCGGATAGCAGATCGGAAATCGTTTGTATCCTTGTTGCGCAAAAAAAGCAGATTCGCAAATCCGACCCATGCGTCCGCATTTACGGATCGAGTTGCACGGCGTTCTGGAAAGCACCTTGTGCCAATGGCGGATTTAGCGATAGGCTGAGATGACTCCATCCGACACCGTTATGGGCATCCGCAAGATTTTCATCGAAGTTAATTGCGCGCTCAAAGCTGAGTAATGCCTGTGGGTAGTCCCCCGATTCGTAGGAACGCCATCCCTGCTCCATGTGATTCAACGCACTTGAGGTGTTTGGATCGGGATCACTGGAACAGCCGCTCTGCATCAGGAGGCAAAAGGCAAGTAAGATTGCATATACAATTTTAATGATACCTTGCGGAGGAATGATGTGTGTTTGATACTTCAACTGTTTTCCTCAAGAGTCGCCTGCGCCGTTGTTGCAGGCTTCGATTTCGTATGAGAGAAAAACGTGCTCCCATTTATCAGCTTTTCTTACAACAGCTGGCGACGTTGCAGGTAAAATTTCGATATGAGCCAAAGCGCTAGCCCGTAATGAATGGAGGCGGCTCCAACACAGGGAACCTTGAAATCTCAACCCCGCTATTTCTCTCTCCAGCAAGTAAAATTAAAATCAGATTTAGCGTTTGTCAAGAGTGGACTTCGAAGTGCCACAGCAACGGCAACGGCATTTGCAATTATACCAAAACCGAAGATGAAAAGCAAGGTAATTGTGAGGGAAAACCACGGAAAAGAGGGGAGATGTCCCTGCGACGCGAAAATCGAGGCAAGTCCGGCGATAATCCCGATAAGCATGCCAATAACGAGAAGGAAGCAACTTTCAAGGAAAAGCATCCGCGAGAGTAACCGCCGTCTGAAACCGAAGGCACGTAGGGTCGCTAATTCGCCGCGACGTTCAATGATATTTCTAAACAGAACGAGTGCTAACCCGAAAGTACCAAGTAGCACGCCTAAACCACCGAGGCTTTGAAAAGTGGAGATATAGGTATTTTCAACCGCTCGATAACTCGCCAAACGTGCGGACGCAGACGCAAGGTCAAAACCGTAGTCCGCTAATGTTTCCTCTAAGACCTGCGCCGTCTCGTCCCGCAAAGCAGGTGGCGTTTTGATGAGGAAAAATTGGTATCCGCTTTGACTTGGGAAGTATTTCGTGAAATTGGATTCAGAGATAATCAATTGGCTTTGGAAAAGACTGTTCACAACCGTCTCAAGTTCGAGACGGAGCGACTTTCCAAATTCATCTTGGACGATAAAATCATCGTCCGGGTTGTGATGCAAAATCCAACGGAGCGACTTTTCATCACCGATAGCAGGAGCTTTACCGTTTTCAGTGGGCATTAAATGCAGGCTGACCCACGGGGATCCGTCTAACATCGCATCAGAGGCACCCAAAATTTGTGGTTTCTGGGGCTGGTAGAGATTCAGACAACTGACATCTTCACCCGGCAATACGCGAAACGGAATTACCTCCGACGCACTCAGGAGTTCAGAGGCTTTATCGGAAAAACCGAGCTCAAACCTACCGTCCGGTGTATTCAGGTTATGGTGCAACGGGAGGGCGGATTCAGCGACAAAGGCGTATTCAGTCTCTGGTGGTGCATCGTGTCGATTCGCACCTACTGCAACGATAATACAGCACGCTATACTGATTGTGGCAACACAGGTCTTGCTCCGTCCGGGTTGCCGCGCCGCGTTTCTGACGGCGAACCGCACTCTGTTCAGCTGCTTTGGCACATTCTGTGATTTTAACCATTTATTGAATACCTCCGACCCTACACCGATAACCAACAGTGCGACAAACAGTAAACTCACCACAGGCTGTTCTACCCATATACCTATTCCGAGCCCAATCGCGGCGGCTAACCAGCTCAGGGGTCCCATCCTCCTACCTTTGGGTTTGTCTCCTACAGCTGCCTCAACAAAATCGGCTTTACCGGCGAGGAGGGACACGGTGGAAGTTTTTCCCACTTTGTGGACAGTCAGACGGATAGAGAGCATCACCACAGCCAGCGAAATAAGTGCGCCAATCAGCAAACTCCATACGCTGATGTGAAGTTCCATAAACGGGGTGCCAATGGCAGGTAGCCACCACGTTTGTAAACCGAATATCATCAATTGCGCGTACCCGACAGCGAGCAGACACCCCCATAGACTACCGATACCGACGATAATGCCGCCTTCATAAAGAAACCGACGGCGGATCTTCGTGAGCGGATAACCAACCGCTTGTAATATACCGATCTCACGCGACCTTTGTTCTACACCGATACGGAAGAGCATCCCCACTAACAAGGCAACAGCAATAATGATAAAAGCACTCAGACTGCTAAAGAGCGTCCCGAAATCTGTTGCACCGCCGGCGGCTTGAAGTCCGTCAGATTGAAGGGCTAAGAATTGAAATCCAACCTGTTCTGGCTGAATCTTTTTGAGGAACTCTGTTTCAAAAAGCGTGCGTGTCGCTTGAAGGTCTGCGTCTGGTGCAATACCCATCCGAATAGCAGTGAGGTCCCCGAATCGGTTTTTCCAAAGTTGCTTACCGGTTTCCAGTGGAATAAATGCTTTCGGTGTTGCTCCGTACGCATCCCAATACGCCTCATCTTTACTGCGAATAAGGGTGTAATCAATCGGAAATGGGGATTCCCACTCCGACATGTCAGCTGTCCCATGGATACCGGGGAAAGCAGGGATAACGTCTCTATCTGCGGTGATACCCTCAATCGGCAGAATCCCTTTCAGGCGGAACAGCGCCGTTTCGGTGATGTATTCTTCCCCCGACGCGACGCGATAGTATGTGACGCTGATCTCGTCCCCGACTTCCACGCCAAGGTCCGTCGCCGTCCATGTATTGAGGATAATTTCAGGATTTTCTATTTTTCCTTGCGGATAAGTAACGGCATTTGAAGTTTGAGAGTTTTCCGTGTTCGAGTCGCCCTCCATTTCATTTCGGGCTTGGTTATCGCTTTCGGTAGCACTTCTGTTAAGAAGTTCAGAAAACTCTCCTTCATCAGTGGGGAGTGCGACGATTGTCGAATATGGAACGGTTTTACCGTTGGCAGAAATCGTATTCGCGAGATAGGTGAGTGTTGGGAGCGTTGGAATGCGGTTTTCAGCTGCGACCGTTAGCGCAAGGTCAGAAAAGATCGGCTTAAGGAGATACTGCTGACTTTGAACATCAAAGTGAGTGCCGTGTTCTTGAATGTCCAAGTCGAGTCCGTCTATGCTCAACGCGAGATCATCAGACGCAATTGGGACTGCTTCCGCCGTAAACAGAGCGTTGACTCTATCCCCTTGCCCAAGTACTTTTTGTAAAACTGGGAGCGCGATGAAGGCGTTCAACGGAAGCTTTGATGGGCGCGAAGACTAAATCTCCCAGCGTTCTCAGTCGGCACAATCTCACTGACAACCAAGCGTAGGCTTTGGATAGCCTCGGATGCGTCGCGCTCGCCGAGAAGGAATTCTGGATGGATGTCAGCGGCTTGGGGGACATTTACGAGGAGCGTATCGCCTACTTGGACCTTCAGTTCGTTCTGTAGTGACTCGTTGATAACGATGGCATTGAAGGGTTGTTCACCTGTTTTGTCGAGACGTGGCGCGGCATTTCCTGCCCAAAAGGTGAAGAAGTTTTCAGTTACACCGAGGATGTTTACCCTTGACGCTCGCGTTTGCGTTTGCGGAGCAACGATTGTCCCGTTCAGCAAGATTGCTGAGACCGTGTTCTGTCGGTCCAGGATGTCTGGCGGGAAAAAGCGGTCAGCGAGGAGGGCATGTTGGATCGTGCCGAGTCGTTCCTTTGTTAAGCTCCGCAGGCTTCCTCGCACAGAATCTCCGACAATCAATGCCCCCGCAAGCACACCCGTCGCCACAGCCGTACAAAGCGCGACGATGAGATGTATCTGCCAAAAATATTTGAAATTTTTAATGATACCTTGCGGAGAAACGACGTGAATTTTGAATCTTTTACGTGCGTTCCTTAAATCTGAAGAAATACCCAAGCAAAAACCCCTCCATTTCATTACGGGCTTGCGGTTGCATTTTATTTTTAATTGAAGATGGCAGCCTGCAAAAACTGTGCAGGCGACTCTTTGCTTAATCAGGACTTACGCAATTTTGAGCATCGCCCGCGCCTTGAAAGAGAAATCGTGTAAAAAACGCAGACGGTTTCTTGACACAACCTAACAGGTTATGCTACAAAAGAGCAACGTGCGTAAGTCCTATTAATTTAACGCTTTGCGAATCATTAAAAACCTTGCGGGTGTTAGGTATCTCCGTTGAGAGTGAAAGTGCCATCTGAAAGCTGAAGGTGTTGCTGAAAGCTTGAGGCAAGTGCAAGGTTGTGCGTGACAACGATGAGTATATTCTGCTCTACACGGTGCAGCTCAAAGAGCAAATTAGCGATAGTTTCGGAAGTAGCAGTATCCAAATTTCCGGTCGGCTCATCGCAGAGAAGAATACCGGGTTGATTGATAAGTGCACGAGCGATCGCAACGCGTTGTCGTTCACCCCCCGAAAGTTCAGCGGGTCGATGCGATGTCCGATGCGTGAGCCCAACCCGCTCAAGGAGTTCATGTGCCCGTTGGGTCGCGTCAGGTTTCTGCTTAAAGGCGAGTGTAGGTACGAGGACATTTTCAAGCACAGAATATTGCGGAAGTAGATGATGTTCTTGAAATACGAACCCGATGACAGCGTTTCGATATCGCGCAAGTTCAGGTTCAGAGAGCGTAAATGGATCGGTGTTGTTAATCTCAACCTGTCCGCCAGAAGGTTTTTCTAAGGTGCCGACGATGTGCAGAAGTGTACTTTTACCGGAGCCAGAAGGGCCCGTAATGGCGACAGACGTTCCGCCCATGAAGTTAAACGAAACATCCCGTAGGACTTGAACTGTCCCAAAATCTTTAGATACATTGGATACTTTCAGCAAGGGGGTGGTCGTCTCGGTTTGGTTCATAATCTATAATACTCCGGTAGACAAGGTTACATGCATTTCAGCAATGGATAAAGGTCGCAAACTGCAATCTATGATGGACAGTGTATCTGATCTGCAATGAAATCTGGGATAGGAATTGCGCGTAGTTTTTCACCGGGATTCGTTATACAACAAACTGTCGTGATTTGTCCACGTGCGATGTCTTTTCCCTGATGCGTAAAATGAAATTGGTAGGTGAGGGACTTCGTCCCTTTTTTGGTAACTCGGAGGCGAATGTCTACTTCATCCTCAAATCGGAGCGGGCTTAAATATTCACACGAAGCGGCGAGTCGGGGCCATCCGATCTTATCACCGTTCCATTCGGTTGCGACACTTGTACCTAAACTACGGAGGAATTCGTGTTCAGCAGTCTCCATAAAGACAAAAAACCTTGTAAAATGGACGATACCCGCCATATCGGTATCGACGAACTCGATTTTGCGTTTGGTGCGGTACTCGGTGTACATTTTGGGTTATCTGGTTTATAGGACTCTTCAGTCTTCGGTTTTCTGTCGGTTTTAGATGGAGGATCGCGAGCTGGAGTTCGCTCCTACAGGAATGTATCGGGAATCGGAGTTCCCTCCTACAGAAGCAATGTATAAACGAAGCAGCGCTTGCGAGGCGTTCCATAGACTGAGACCCTTCGCAAGCGCTCCTACTGAGAAATATGTACACGATTACATTTTTGGAAAATCCGGTACATCCTCATATCGACTCCACGTCTCAGCGTAAATGCGCCAGTGTCCATCGGTTGGATCTACCATGAGATTGAGTTTTTTAGTGCCGTAATCGGAGTAAGCGGGTCGGCTACCACTCGCCGGAGTGCCAGTGAATTTTTGTAGAAACTTGACATCTGCAACTGCCCGATCTCCGTTAACCTGTAAATTAGAGATGGAGACCTGGATGTCAGCGTATATAGTGTTGAGTTTCTTCATCTTGGCGCGGAGCTGCCCCTTTGTAAGATAGACCGAAGTTTCCCTTCCGCCCCGGACATTCACGCGGGTAATTTGTGCTTCATCCGAATAGATAGACATATAGGTCTTCAGGTCCTTCACTTCCCAAGCCGACTGCCATTTCCCTAACACCTGTCTCACTTTGAGGTGCGTATCCAATGGAGCATTTCCATCGAAAGTGCCCCCGGACTCTTCGCCAGAGACAGTGTCCACCCCAGGCACATCTGGCGCGAGTGCGATAGCATCAGACATGACATTGATTTGATCGTTCATGAGTTTCCATCTTCGTCTGAAAAACCCCTTTTTCTCAACCGTGAGTGTGCGGGTATGGGTCTCAATGGTATCGCCACCATTTTGCAAAGTTATCTGAATGTTGTCAACCATGTGGCGGTTTTTGTGTCGTGGAACAACAGTATAAGTGGCTCCAGTAAGATCGACGACATGGGTTTGCGACATCAGGTCCTTAGCACGCCCGAAACTTGAAGATCGTTTTTTCCGAGCGGATTTATCCCATAGGTTGGTATACGCCTTTAAATTCTGGGTTTCTAAGGCAGCCTTCCAAGCCATCACGAGGGGTACGACAGGGCTATTGGGCTGCTCTGTCATCCCGGGTTGCGGCGTGGGAGGGGTTGACAGTGTGGGAGCGAATTCACTACCGACTATCTCCTCTTGGACAATTTTCCACCGCTGTTGAATAATACCTTTCTTTTCAATAACAAGATTCGTAGCTGCTGTTGCGCTTCGCCCGGGTAATAAGCCGTGAGCGGATCCCTTCAATCCGGAAGCGGTTTGTATAGCGAGGAACTCGATAGGGTTGGCTGGCACCCTCCAAGGTTAACCTCAAAATTTACGTTATCCCTAAGGAGTTTCGCAGTCCTCTGATAGCCCGTATCGGGACGCTGGCGTGGCACTTTTCACCCAGAGTGCTTCATACCTTTTAGGATCGCCAGTTTCGAGTGCGCTCTTCCATTTCACCAAAAAGGCTGTAGGGGTCTCACTGGAACTCATGAAGACCACAAGGAATAAAACAAAAGCGATGACGATTGCAGCAATCGCACCACCCCACAGCAGGTTCCGGGGTATAGTGAATTTCTTTTGGCTGTTTTGCCGGTTCTGTGCGTCGTTCACAATTTAACCTCCGCTTCTACAGACATTTTGCTCCGCTGGAGCAAGGAGGGCATTGTATTTTCTGCCGTGATGCAGAACCTACAGACATTTTGCTCTGCTGGCGTATTTTCTGCCGTGAGGTAGAACCTGTCTGTAGTATGTAGCCCAACTGTCCATAATTAAAATTTGGCACGTTCTCATAGATTTGCCAGATTTCGTGATGAATTCTCCAGTTGTTCCCAACTTGATGCATCCAGACTTCGCGAATCCAGATATTGTAAAGCTCCGTCGCGTTCTCGTCTGCGGCTGGCATCGCCAATCGGGTCAGTCGATGGATACCGATAACGCTTTCTCCCTCGACCTCGATATTGGTTTTGGCTTTATTCCACGCGTAGGTGCCCATCTGGTGAAGATTTGCCTCCAGTTGCTGGAGATCGATTTTACTTCGATGTTCTTTGCTCTCGCGAATCACGACTTTGTCGGTAATAATATTAGGTTCATAGTAGGCAAGGTGTCCATTGAGGTTCTTCGCATGCCACGCGTGTTCCCAATTACTAAGTGCAGCCTTACCCGTTGCGATCTGTTCCGTAGAAAGCGTAATGCGTCCCGTTTTAGCAGGATGGAGTGGAGATTGACTGTCAACATACGCCCGAGCCTCTTGTGCTTTCTGTTTGAGATATTCTGCATGCTTTGTACCCGCATTTTGCTGGTTGGCTTCTGCGAGTTTCTCGGTATAGATTTGCCCCTGTTCACGGAGTTGTCTCTTAAGGGAATCTATCTCAGCAATAACTGTCCGTTTCTGATACCCTTCCTCTTTCACCATTATGTCAGCAACTTCAAGCTTCCGACGGAGTGCGGCAACCTCTCTACCGTAATTACGGATCTCGGTTTCCGCCCTTCGAGTACGCCCCTGAATCTCTGCTAAAGTTTCAGAGAGTTGTGCGACCTGTTCCCCGTAGGCTGCCCGTGTATCGCCCAGTTCACGATTCTCTTTCTGGAGGTCGCGAACGGTCTGTTTCAGTTGCTGTCCCTCGCTCTGAATGTTCTGAATTTCGGATTGAAGTCCTGTGAGTTCTTCCTTTTTACTGTTAACAGTCTCGCGGAGTGATTCTGCTTCAGCTCCCTTCTGGAGTATAGAGGCATTTAATTCCGAGTTTTTAGTGATATTAATGGAATTCGTTCGTGCCAGTGTAGCATTAGCTATCGCTTGATACGCGAGGCGGAGTGCATCGTTTCCTTTTTTTTCGTCGAGTGCTGTTTTTGCAGACTCAAGGTCGGCTTTCGCAGTCTCAAACAAATCAGATGCGAGTGTCGGTGCATCAACATCCACTGCCGCTGCCAGAGCGGCTTCAGCGTCCGCGATCGCCATATCAACTGCTGATGTTTCTATTTTTCCGAGTTTTCCGCCACATCCTACGAAACCGAACGAAACGAGAAGCATCCCAATGAATAAAATCCCACTGGGTGCGACGTTACCCTTCCGTGATAAAGCGATGAATCGTTTCATTTTCTAACTCCTTTTTCTATAGACATAACACCCTACGGGGTGTGAAGAGGCATTTTTTCTTAAAGAATCTGTGTTTTAAACACCCAAACCCTATTAGGTAGCAACTTGGGTATTAATTTCTAAAAAGAACTACCTTTTGGTAACAAATGTCTTTTCTCATTATTCAAATGCAGACAAAGCCATGACTTCCGGTTGGACGGCTGTTGACTTCATGTGCGCGAGTGTGTGCTTGATTGTTGATGCCTGTGCCTTACCAACTCCATCAACTGCCTGGAGTTCACCAACAGCAGCTATGTTGACCCGATCCAATGTTTTGAATTTGTGAACGATATTTTCAACAATATTGAAGGGAATACGAGGCACTTGGCTAAGCATCCGATACCCGCGGGGTTTAAGCACCTCGAAAGTGTTACACACATCACGCGAATACCCTAAAGCTTCACTAATGTCACTCGGGTTTGCGAGGCTGTGTACATCAAGACCCAAAATTGCTTCAAACGCTTCAGAGGCGTCACGTAGACTCTCATGATAATAATCTTTTATAATCAGAAGTCCACTCTCAATTTCAGTTGTGAGTTCGGGAATAACATACTGTAGAGATTGCGCCTGTGTGCCTAACTCGATCCTGTAACGGTCCAATTCCTGCTCAGCGCGGCGAACGCGTTCACACATTGGATAGCCGCGACGACATCCGCCAAGGTCACATCTCCACTTAATTCAGCCCAATTCAGAATGGTACCGGCGTTTTGCAGTGCTTTGAGGTGCTGCGTCAGTGCGAACATCGTTTGATTCGCGCAGGAAAGCAACGTAGAGCATTCTCGGAAATATAGTGCTGATCTTTGAGATACAGGGTAAGCGTATTTCGGCTTTGTGACACTGCGAGGACAATCTGCTCAGTCTCTTTCGCAAATTTATCCGCCGAGCGGTGGCGGAGTCCTGTTTCATTCGAGGGAATCGTCGAGCTGGTTCTCAACGTTACATTCGCGCGCGCACTATGCGTTTTATATCTTCAGAAGAATAATCGCGCCATCCATTTTCGACAACTCATATAAACGTGTCGGTGTATATGGGCAATTAATCCGGAAGCCACCTTCTGTCAAATCCAGAGTTTCTGGCGTATCACCCAAGACGATGAGGCCCACCGGCTTTACTTTGGATGATATAATCGATACCTTCCCTCAGATAAGTCCCTGGCGATAGCAGCTTCAGTGCCGCAAATAATTCGCATGTTTTTTGATTTTCCGTTGAGATGTTTTGCACTGCAACCACCTCCTACATTAATAGAATACCATATCCGACAGGTGGTGTCAAGGTGAACACCTTGCCGTCAGAAGTTCCTTGCTTATATCTGTGAGATATAGGTTACCACACAAACCTGATATGCAATACCTGTTTGCATATCGTTCCGTTTTTCCTGAAAAAACGCAAAGTCTACAGAAACTGAAAACCTTCAAAATTCTGCTTGACTTTACGCGCAAATAAGTGTATATGTATACAACTTTTCACCTTCGATGAAGTGTAGTTTATGCCCTAATCAATTTATCAAAGGGGCACTTGTCGGAAATTTTGACAAACCCAAAAAGGAATTCGTGAAGATCCCCAAATTTTCACACTAAAATTATGCGATTTAGCTTATTAGGTGTGTTTTGCGCGGCAATTGTTTCATGTAACAACGATCAACTCCCTTATGTAACGATTGAAACTGAAAAAGGAAACATCATTATTGAACTTTACCCGGATGCGGCTCCAACCACAGTAGAGAATTTCGCGCGATTGATCGAATCAGGATATTACGATGGCGTGATCTTCCATCGACACGTCCCCGTTTTTGTTATCCAAGGTGGCGATCCACAGGGAACAGGTAGCGGCGGACCTGGGTGGACAATTCCGGGTGAATTCCAAGACCCAGAACTTCGTGACAAGATGCCGGTTCACGAAAAAGGTGTCGTTGCAATGGCACGGACACAGAACCCTGACTCGGCTGGAAGCCAATTTTATATCTGCATCAGTTCAGATCCAACACCTTATGCACATCTAAACGGCAGCTACACCACGTTTGGGGAAGTTATTGAAGGAATGGATGTGGTAGACGCACTCCGTGAACGTGATGCCATGAACAAAGTGACAATCGAAATTACGCAGTCGCACCGTAGCATATCTAATTAATTCCACGTCCCATGGTCCCTAATGTAGAACGTTGCTCGCGAGTTTTTATACAGCGCATCGTGCCAACGGCGCAACAAGCATTCGCGCGGAAATTTGGAAAGGATGGACATAATAGATGGAAGAATGGAAACGTCTCGTGAGAGATACTGTCAACACCCCAGAAAAACTTGCTGCTGCATTCGATGTTGACTTAGAAGAAATGCGGCGTATTCACAAAGAATTCCCATCCGCATCAATCCCTATTATCTGAGCCTCATAGAAGAACCCGGCGATCCGATTTGGAAACAGGTAGTTCCCGATCCAAGAGAACTCGTGAGTACCGGCGTAGAGGACCCACTGCAACGAAGAAGACGATAGCGAAGTGCCAAACGTTACGCATCGATACCCCGATCGGGCACTCTTCTATGTCAATTACATGTGTCCAATCTATTGCCGTTTCTGTACCCGTAAACGGAAAGTCGGGACCCACACTCCATTTCCGAAAATAACATTGAGATCGGGCTCGCCTACATTCAGGCGCATCCAGAGATCCGTGACGTAATCATCTCCGGTGGTGACCGCTCATGTTGACGGATAAGAAAATTGATATGATCCTCGGGGGACTGCGAGCGATTAAACATTTGGAAATCATTCGGATCGTTTCGCGCGTCCCGGTAACGTTGCCGCAACGCATCACACCAGAGTTGTGTGCGATCTTGAAGCGACACCACCCTTTTTATATCAACACCCACTTCAACCATCCTCGTGAGATTACACCCGAAACAGAGAAGGCGTGCGGTATGTTAGCCGATGCAGGTATAACCCCTCGGAAACCAGACAGTGCTCCTGAAAGGTGTGAATGACGATCCGGCTGTGATGGTGGAACTGATGAAGGACTATTGCGCATTCGGGTCAAGCCGTACTACATCTATCAAGCCGACCTTGTCGTCGGCACCGACCACTTTCGGACAGCGATAAAGACGGGTTTAGACATTGTCGCGGCGTTGCGTGGGCATATATCTGGGATGGGTGTCCCGCATTATGTCGTTGATGCCCCCGGTGGCGGCGGAAAAATTGCGCTGATCCCTGACCCAGTTGTATCCTTCGATGACGACGAGATTCAGCCTCCGCACTACGAAGGCAACGTCTATAGCTACCCGAGCCACACCGTTCTTTGATGAGGATTGGTAGATTCAGAAACATTTATATTTATTGTAAGGGTGGGTGGTCTTGCCCACCCTATTTTTTTCTACCTATTTACATCTTGGCAATCCAACCGTTTGTCACAAAGTCGTGGAAGGGTTATCTCCCCTCTTCTCCTTTCTATCACTTCCTGTTTCCCATGAAACTGTCGCGGTTGTGAACCGCTTTTCCAACGAATCATAGGTCTCTCTCTACACGATAACCGTGTTCTGTGAGCGTAGTAGATACAGATGTCCAAACGGCTCGTGCTTGTTCGACAGCCTTAGATGCGTCTGCGTTGGTGGTTTCCGGCGTGTCCTCTGGGTATCGGGCTTCAGCTGCCCATCGGGTTAAGTGCGATAGGTCTGGATGTACGGTTTTGAGATGCCAACTCTCAGGCACGAGATCCCGTAGAACATTCAAGTCATACGTTCTCCGAAAATCGATCTGTAAGAAGATTAAGACTGCCTTCAGTGCCTTTTCTGCAGTTTGTTGAGCAAACCAACACGCTTGGCGAGGTGGAACATGCGGCTGTCTTAAAAGGGTTTCAGCGGTTACTAAGTCTTCCTCCGCATAGCGGAGCCAGCGGGCGGTGTCTACGAGTCGATCGGTCGTTTGCATAGCGGATTCTACCTCCTTGTTGGGTATACCACAGCACGGAGCCGATCCGCGTGCGACTGCGTTCCAACTCTTCCAAAGGACTTTACCTTCCTGTTGGGCATAACGCAGCACGGAGCCGATTCGCGTGCGGCTGCGTTCCAACTCTTCAGGCGTTGAGACAAGGATGTCCTTTGCCACGGGTAAGTCAGCCAGGGAGCGCAGAATATCAAGGGCAGTTTTCCGTTTATCTGTGAGTTCCGAAAAAACGACGAGCAGATCTATGTCGCTCTGCCGATCTGCATCCCCTCGTGCCTGTGAACCGAAGAGGATAATCTGCAAAGGGTCAAAGTCACGCACGATACGCTCTGTCATAATCGAGATGAATTCGTTATTCATTGCACGCTCCTTTTATTCACGCTTTTTAGAAGACTCAAATCGGAAACTTTCAGATGCGTACATAGTTTACATTTCACTATAAAAGCTTAACTTTACGAAGCCTCGTGCATAAACGTCTATCCTTCTGAACCTTTTGTCTTCTCAAGGAACGGACTGAGCAGATCAATCGGGATTGGGAAAATGACGGTTGAGTTTTTCTCTGCACTGACTTCTACCAAAGCTTGAAGGAATCGGAGTTGCACGGCGGTCGGGGTTCTGCTGAGGATTTCAGCGGCATTGGTTAAGACCTCGGCAGACTCGAACTCACCTTCGGCGTGTGTAATCTTCGCACGCCGTTCCCGTTCCGCTTCCGCCTGTTTCGCCATCGCGCGTTGCATCTCAGCGGGGAGATCCACGTGCTTGATCTCCATCGAAAGCACCTCGACCCCCCACGGTCCACAATGTGCCTTGGTGATATCCTCCAAATCCTGATTTAATTTTTCGCGTTCCGAGAGTAAGTCATCCAGTTCAGCACGTCCAAGCACACTACGGAGCGTGGTCTGTGCGACCTGGGCAATTGCAAAACCGAAGTCTTCAACCTCGATCACCGCTCTATCCGCTTCGGTCACCCGAAAGGTGAGCACTGCATTGACGCTCACGGAGACGTTGTCTTTTGTAATCACGTCTTGAGGGGTGACATCGTTGACGATCACACGTAAGCTAATGCGCTGCATCCGCTCAATCCAGAACGGTATCATAAACACAAGCCCGGGTCCACGGGTAGCCGTTAATCGTCCGAGACGGAAAATAACGGCGCGCTCGTATTCCTTGAGAATTCTTACACTCGTCGCGATCATAACAACGACGGTAATTACAATGGCAAAATAGAGAGGATCAACTTGTGGCATATTTTTAATTTTCCTTTTTTTAATTTTCCTTGCGGAGAAACAACGTGCGTTTAGACATTGACAGGCGTTCCCGAAATCCGCCCTCCAAATGTAAAGCAAAGACAAATTATGCCATTTAAGGCATAATTTCATTACGGGCTACGCGTTTTTGAAACTATCTCAAGAAGAAACCTTTGTTGTGAGACGAAAACCTCTTTACTAACTGCTAATTGCCAACTGCCAACCGCTAATTTTTCCTTACGGAGAAACAACGTGCATTTAGACTTTTAGGCATGATGCTATCAAGAATGGCAGCCAGTAATGTCGCGAGCCTTCTGAAAAAAGGTGCGTTTGCGCGGGGTGTTAAGTTGCCATTGCACTGGCACGGATTGGTAACCGTTGCAATAGTCATTTTCACCCGGATCGAAGTAGCCCCATGAAGCATATTGGCTCACGGCAGCAACGAAGTTATTGAGGGGTTTATCGAAATCGAATGGTCGTCTTCATTGAAAAGGATTGGCTATCGGACGGTAGCCCGGCACCTCACGCGTCTGTTGGACCATCTCAATGATGCGGTTTGGATCGCTCACAGCCGTTTTCCATGGATAAGCAGAAAATCGGAGGAACGGACGACATTCTCCAACGGCACTCTACCTCCGCCGTAACTGGTCCGACGAGGAACTATTGCCATTGTGTGTCGTCGCTTTCACGCGCTCAATCAATTCATGCACCCGCTCAGGCTGCAGAATTTCATGTGAGTATCTCACGTTGCACTCGTTGTTAACCTCAATGATAACATTGGTATACCCTTTGTCGAAGAGCCAACCTGTTGCGTTATCCACGGCTTTTTTGACAGCGTTTTCGTCAGTGATCCGTTGGTCCTGTCCAAAGTAGAAATAGCCGAGGATAACAACCATGCGAGCGCGTCAGCGAAGTCGATGATACGTTTCAAGCCGTGATAGATAATCTGAATTGAGACTACCGTCGGCTTCTATCCCGGAGTTGTGCCACGGTTGCGCTTTGGAGTAGCCTTCGGGACTGCCACCTTGGAGGTTAAGAGTGAACGCCAGCACACCGTGTGCGCGCCATGTCGGCATCGCTGATAGAAATTCACGCGTATTGCGCTCTGGGTCCCATTCACCTGTATCTGGATATTCCCAGAGATGTATCGTTTCGGGGTTCCGATCATCAAAGATGCCTTGCACCATACGGGTGTTGAGAAGCAACCCCTCAACTTTATTCCCTTGGTAGAAACGTCCCGGATAGGTAATTTCTCCATTGATGTAAAACGCATCGTCAATGATGCTAACTGCTGTTTTCATTCTTTAATTAATTGCTCCTGGGCTGCCTTCCATTGCATTTCAGGCAGGCTTCCGGTTAATTCGTGACTGGGATTGAGGACTTGTGCAGTTTTTCTCTTCCTCCTCTTGCGTCGCTGGCGAGGTTTTCCCTACAACACCAGCAAAGGCGTTTGCGTAAGTCCTGTTACTGCGTCTTCTGTGAAAGTGCTTTGAAATACTTTCGCAGCTGCTCCCGATACTGGAACGGAATGTCCTCAAATTCCTTTGCATAAGGTGTGATTTCTAATTTCCGAACAATTTCGAGGAGTTCAGGATGCAAAGGCGGCACTTCCTGTGCGGGTGTTTCGGGCTTTTTCGCCACCTCTGCTTTGCGCTGTTTACCGACATCCCGTTTCTGCAACGATTTTAAACTGTCAAGCATCCGCGTCAAAATTTGTGCCTGTCTATCGAGTACCTCCTCGTTGAGTTCACCTTGGTGGAGTGACTTCTCAACCTCAGCCATCTCCGCAGCGACATCTTCAAGACTACCGAGCATCTGCGCCATCTGCTCTGCACGCTCAGCGAGCCGTTCGGTCGCCTCTCGGATGAGCTGCTGCTGACCAGCAAGTTGACGCATCATCTGTTCAAGCCCTGGCGTTTGTCCCTGTTCTCGCAACTGCTGATTCAGATTCTGTGCCATCTCGTTCAGTTGCTCCTGACTCTCGGCGAGCTGCTGGAGCTGCTCCATCATGTTTCAAATCCGCTGGCACCCATCTGTTGGTTCATCTGTCCCATCGCCTCGAGGAGTTCAAAGACCGCCTGATTAAGATCAGCAAGCGCCGCTCTTTGGATGGGTACCGCGAGGCTTGGCTGCCGATCCTCTAAAGCGCGTGCGGCACGCGATAAGGCATCGTTTGAGGCGTTAAGATGCCATAACGCTTCAGGTGGGACTTCTATCTGTCGGTTCCCTAATTCCCAAAGTTTACTGGAAAGTTGTGTGATACTCTCTGCCGTACTGAGTTCATCAGCGGCGAGTTGTTGCAATCGCACAATCTCACTTGAAATGTAAGCATCAGACTGCCCAGCGGTGAGGATGTCGCCTGTTTGGGTGAGGACCTTCTCATGCAGATGAGAAAGGTGGAGCCCACTTCCAACGGCTTCCTGCAGCGCAGTCAAAGTTTCGTTGGCGTTTGCGCCTTCCATGAACGCCATGGCGTTATCCAACCCCTGTGCGAGTTCCGTGAGCGTCTGTTCTGCATCTCGTCCCGATTCAAGTGCTTCGCTCTTCTGCCCACCGCGGAGGTTCTCACTGGTCGTCTCAAGCATTTCAGGCAGTTTATGCTCGTGCGCAAACTGATTGAGTCGGAGGATTTCATCTGCGAGTCGTTCTATTTGTGGCGGTGCGTTCTCTTGATTCTGCGCCATTTCACCCATTTTTGTGCCGAGTTCCTCTAACTTTCCGCTGAGTTGGTCGAATTCATCCCCCACCCGGTCCTCTTTTTGTGCGAGGTCACCCGTAGATTCGGACTGTTCCGACGACTCCAATGTATCCATCAACTGCTTCTGCTGTTCGGCGAGTGCCTTCGCCTGTTTCGCCGCCGCTTCGAGTTCCTGTTGGAGGAGAATCTGTTCATAGAGCGATTTGGCACGTTCCAATTGCTGTAAGAACTGTTCCTGACTGAGATTCGCTTCCTCCATCGACCGCTCCTGATCATCTACTTCCTGTTTCGCGAGTGCCTCTGATAATTTCCGTAAAAGCTCCTTATGTTCTTCAGAAAGTGCTTTCTCCATCAGATCTTGCAGTTCTTGATATTTCTCGATCGTCTCAGCGTCGAAGAGTTGATTCTGTTCCATTTCCTCCGCAGTCTTTTTCATGTCTTCGATTAACTGCTTCGCCTTTTCCTCAATCTGTTTCTGATTTTCAAGCACCTGTTGCATCAGATTTTCGTCATTGAGGGTGAGTTCCTGGCTCTTCCTGATTTTATCGAGGAGCGTGTCAACCAGACCGGTCGCGTCTGCCTGCTCGTCAACGAGTTCTTCAAGCCCTCGTTGCTCGGTTTCCTGCCCTGTAGCGACCGCATCGTATAACTCGGAGAGGGATGGAAAGCGGAGTGTATAGGTATGAGACTTCCCGATATTCGGTCCTGAGACATCGTCAATATCCAAGGCTTGAACGTAATACGCAAGCGTTTCACCGGGGAAAATACCAATCCGATCCACATCCCACGTATATGCCACAAAAACCGATCTGTGCGAGATCGCGTCCTCGACCTCCCAACGTTTTAAAGGCACATTTACCGCCTCGGCACCTTCACTCTCAACGCGGTATACCAATTGGAGTTCCTGTATACCGTAGTCATCTGTCGCTTCCACCTTAAGTTCAATCAACATAGCATCGTTTAAAACGGTGTCCCGTGCGGGTGCGACAATCGCAACATCGGGTGCGACATCTTTGAGAACGGTAACCGTCCGGTTAATGGGGCTTCGATTCGTGAACCCGTCAATATCGGTAATGGAGATACGATAGTTTTCACTCTGTTGGGCAACGAAAGATCCTTGTATTATTTGCGGCGTAGCGGGGGTTTCCGGTCCCTGTTCATCCGCCATTAATTGTGTAACAGCACTGTGCAACTGCCCTTCCGTAATCTCCAATTCCACATTACCCGACGCATCAAAAGCGAGGTGTGCCTTCTGAAGCGGTTTGTTGCTCTCTCCAGTGAACACAACCTCTGTTCCAAAAAGCACTTGGATGTCCCCGACGTTTGCTGGAAGTGTCTGGGACTGGAGTTGCGTGTAGGCAGGGTAATTGAGTCGATACTGGAACTGCGTAACAATCGGTTCATTGCTGATTGTTATTTGATACTGCTCCGATGTCACCTCTTTGACCGAAATATAGTATTGAAGCGGACGTGTCACATTTTCAAGCGTGGCACTGTAGGGAAACCTCGAAATCTCGGAAACCTGTAAACTGCGTCCGGCATCAGTGGCTGTACGGAGCATCAGCAACGATTGCCATTCCGCTGTTGACGTAACCTCATTTTCATCGCCAACGCGATAGTAAAGTGCGACGGGAGTACCAAGGTGCCCGCCTACTTTAGCAGTTACGTTAACATCGGTGCCTCGTTCAATTTGGATATTACCGGGCTGGATTTTTGTAATCTGAATAGACTCCTTTAGATATTCCTGATCGTCTTGCAGCGTTTTTGGTAAGGTCTGGAAAGCCTGTGCGAAGCCTGTAAACGCGGTAGGTAACAGAAAATGTGTAACAAGGAGCAGGACGACTCCGCCGACAGCGACCCCTGCATTTCGCCGAATCTTCCGAAATTCGGGCTGAAATATCCGTCGGTGTTGAACCTGCTCCATATCCCGGCTGGCTTGAACAATCAGGTGTTCAACGAATTCCAGTGCATACCCAAGTCTGTTGTTCTCTAAAGTCTTCCAAAGTTGGACAGCACTGAGCACCCTGTTTTCAGCGGCGAAGGCCGCCTCTGTCTGCGTTGATTCAAGGCGCGATGCGACAGCCGCGTCCGTCAACTTATTGCAGAGAGGTAGAACGAATGTCCGAATCACTGCATAGACGGCACCACCTATTGATGATAGGATGATCGCGATGCGTATCCAGCGCGAGAAAGGGAACTGCCATAACTGGAAACTCACCGCTAAAATGAGAAGTGTCCCTGCCATTACAAGTGCAAGAACACCGATACACTTCAAGAATCCTTCAGAGAAAGTGAGCCATCGCCACTGTCGCCGAATAGCACCGAGTCGATCAATCAGGTTTCCGTAAGCCTCGTTCACATTTTGTCTGTCCATTTCATTTCGTCCTTTAGTGAGTCAGAGCATATACAGCAATATTTACTGCCATTTTCGCTGCGAGTTCGCGGACCTGAGGCGTATCGTCTGGATGTACATCGGCATCCTCAAGCCCATCACCGATGTCAGCACTGTAGGCATAGTAAACGACCATACGTCCATCATGAAAAAGCCCAAACCCTTGTGCAGGTTCAGCATCATGTTCATGAATCTTGGGGAGTCCTTTCAACTCGTAGAAACAGCGATAAATCAGATGTGTGTTTGGGACAGGCTGTAGCTCCTGCTCTGGAAATACTCTCCGCATTTCGCTGCGAAAGCTTTTGTCAAGCCCGTAATCATCGTTCGCGAACAGAAAACCACCGCTCTTGAGATAATCCCTTAACGCTTCAACTTCACTCTCAGTCAATCGGATATTCCCGTGTCCTACCAGATAGAGTACCGGATACTGATAAAGGGTATGATCCGTCAACTTAATGATCACCCTGTCCTTAGCGGTCTCAATATCTGCTCGGTCTCGGAGAAGCCGGAGCCAATTCTTGATAGTTGTAGGATCGCCATACCAATCACCACCCCCACCATAGTGGATTTGGGCGATAGTTATCGGGACATCGGAAGCCTGCAAACTCTGTTTCACCTGAATACCAATCACGGCACAAAAGAGGAAACAACCGATCCAAAAATAGTTATCAGTTTTCAGTTTACAGTTATCAGTCAAAGAGGTTTTAATGTAACAATTCACCATTTCTTGGAGGACTCCAAGTTTTAGGGTCTTTAGTCTTCATTTAAGTCAGGCCAACCCGTTTACGCAAAAACCATTCAGTCCCCAACAATCCAAGGACTGTGATGAAAATCAACGGATGTGCCCAGAGTTCGCGTTCTGCGTCAACGAATATCGGGTTTTGGACATTCGCAATGTTTTCAGGGAGCGATTCCGCGTCAGCCATCGTAAAATAGGCACCATCGGTTTGTCCGGCAAGTTGCTTCAGCAAGTCTTCATTGAGCTGCGGATTCTCCAATTCGGCAAGCTGCGGATGGGCATAAATATCGATTTGATCCTCGCCTAATTTCAGATTGCCGCTCCTGCCAGTTGCGCGAATGCGGTACTTCCCGTTTTGCAGTAGTACGAATTGGGCAGTATAGAGGTTGCTCATATTCGCGATTGTGTCCGGTTGCGACAGCATCTCGTTCGTGCTTTCAGTCGCTGCGTTAATCTGGAGTTGGAAGGGGGCCCCATCAGGAGGCACCACTTCGATCTGAACTGTTGCCCCCGCTTGTGGTTGATAGGTTTCAGAGTATAGATACGCTGTAACCTTCACTGTATCCCCTATCGCATAAGTGGAGGCATCTGTAGTAAGGTATACGTTCTTGTCATCGGTATTTGTTGCCATCCACCGCAGCACCTGTGCCCAAAAGCGAGGATAGATTGCGTGATAACGCGTGTCTTTAAAGGTTTTGACACCAAAACCCCAATTCCAGAAGCCTTCCGCCGCAATCATCAGGCTTTTGCCTAAACCTGCTCTTTGGAGAATCAGAATAGGCATGCCTTTCCCATTCTCCATCAGCGCAGTTGCTCCGCCCCTGAGACGGAATCCACTGAAGGATCGCGACAATGCTGGCATATTGGCTATCAGGTGTCGGCTATCAGCCGTCAGTAAAGAGGTTTTTGTGGTAGTCCCAAGACTCTCTTTTGCCGACTGCCGATTGCTGACTGCCATTTGGGTGTCAGCAAGCTGCAACATCGGGTGAAACGCCCCGGATTGGGTTAGCTGCGCAGTGAATTCCGTATCCTCTATACGACATCCATTCTTCGGGATGTCAATTGGCAAAAGCTGCGCTAATTCTGTATTTCCGAGCCCATTCACGCCGAGCATGTTCCGAGAAGGTAGAAAGATAACCGGTTTTCCTTGCATCTCAACGAAATCAACGATTGCGCGCTGTTGCGTTTCAGTGAGATGCTCAGCCCCCAAATCACCTAAAATTAGCACATCGTACTTAGAAAGTTCGGCGAGCGTTTCAGGGAACCGTGGGGTTTCCGACGCCGGGGTCGCTTGCGGATAATACCCATCTAAGCGATTGAGCACGCTATCTACCGGTAGACGCTTTAATCTATTAGACGATAAGATTGCACAGGTAGCCTCAATATCTGGGATCTCGTTCCAATGTTCGTTTCAAAAAGGTGTAGTCCCATCTGGGTCTGCCTTCCAGATAGAAAACGTTCAGCCTTGCTTTCACAACCTTCATGGAAAACGTCTTCTGATTGTTCGCTTCCGTGAGTTCACCATCAAGCGTTGGAAGTGTAACACTGTATTGAAAGTTACCTTCTGCCTGCGGTGTCAACTTTAATTCAACCATCTGTTTTGTGCTGGCATCCACAGCGTTTACTTCCTGATGGGAGCTGAAGGTCAACGTTACAACATCCACAAGTCTTTTACTCTCTACTTCCCGCAAAGACAACTGGGTCGTTTTACCGGTGTAGCCCGTTTGCACAACGTTCACACGAATGACACTCTCATGGTTTGTGTAAGCAATAGGCGTGTAATCAACACGCTGAATCTGAATGTCTTTTGGCGGTTCCACAGAGCCGACACCTATCGGGTAGATCGGCACCTCCAATGCGGTGATCGTCTCCAAAGGGAACCGTCCAGAATTGTGTGCACCATCTGTAATAAGGACAATACCAGCGGTTTGTTGTCCCTTCCACGCTGACGCGGGCTTCCCGTATAGCACCCCCAATATCAGTAAGTGCGCCTTCCGCCCCGAATTGTGGCGGTGGAGCATCATCCTCTTGTGCCAATAGGACACTTTGTTGCAGTCGCGTATTGAAAGGATAGAGATGAACTTCAAACCTATCTTGTAAGGTTTGCAGGAATTGCCCTGGGACATTGAAAAGCAGTTGATTCACCTGACTGAGTCTGGATATAGGTATCTCACTCATGGATGCATCAACGAGTTGCATACTTCGCGAGGTATCCACTAAAATGGAGAGGTGCGTCGGTGGTGTGATGTCTTTCTTTTCAATGACAACGGGGGCTAAGAGACAACCGAGCAGAATCGACGCTGCGGTGATCCGCAGCAGAATGAGCAAGAATCTATACCTCGGGTGTAATGGACGCGCTATCCGCAAATAAACATAGACGGTTATACCGATGACAACGCCGATACCGAGCACAACTATCCACCCTGGCAAAAAATAGGTGAATCGCATATCTGGATTACTTCCTTTCACAACATATTATAGTCCAATTAGCGAATCAATGTCAACCCGATTTCTGCTTTCTTAGAACTATCGGTTCTCGGTTAAGATCGGGTACCGAACGGTAACAGAGAAAAATAGGTTGACAACAGACACCTCTCTTTGTTAGAATATGCTTAATCCAAATTTTGTAGAGGTGGAGTGCAACATGGCTGAAGAAAATAATAACGAGAGTGCTGGCGAAACCGAAGAGCAAACCCAGGCAAAAAGCGGTATGATCGTCAACGCTGCGCAGATGCAGTCCCTTGATATTAGTGATCGGTTCACTCGGACGAAAACGGCAACCGGCTGGCAGATTAAATTAGAGGCACCAGCGCGCGTCACTATCAACTTCATAACCAGTATGCGAAAGTTTGAAGCCACATTAATGCAGGACGATATTATTGAGCGTGACGGGGACGATCTGATTCTGATTCGGAACCATCCCGCTGATGCTTACCGTTCCCAAAGAGGTGTCTCATCATCACCACTCGCGCGGAGTAATGAACGGACACTGGTTTCTGAGCCAATCGAAGGTAGGACAGTATAGTTCTCTTCCGCTATGAAGGTATAGGGGGTGGCTGCCCATTTTAGAACGCATCTATCAGCTTCTCTCCAGCTTAAAGGGCGAAACGATGATTCCGACAGAAGTGGTCCTGAGCCCACAAAGTTACGCGAAACTCGTTTCTGAACTCGCCGAAAAACTTGAGTGTCAAGGCATATCGCATTTGCAACTCGCGCATCACCTCGCCTTGCCAGTCTCCATCCAACAAGAAAATACGGACTTGGTCGTTCTGAAAGAATTGACCCCTAACCCTTGTCCGACCTGCCACCACCGGTTGACGTTCCTCCGAGAAACAATGGAACGTTTTGAGAATGATAGTTCCAATCTGATCCGTTGTCCGATGGGACACCGTTATCCGGGTGTGCTAAAGGTGTGTTATTTGAATATTTTCCAACACGATGAGAAGGATGAAACCGAAAAGCCGATAAAAATGTGTCCGGAGTGTGGTGGCAAAAACATCCAGTACTTAGCACCGAAGGTGATGTTTTGTCTCGATTGTGATTGGGATAGCGGGATGGAAGCGCGGTATTAAATACAGCGACAGATAGAATAGTAAATACAGTCGTGTATTTGTGTAGGTAGGCGCGCTTTGGAAGCGCGCCTAACGATGAATGAACCTAATGGAAGTGTCCAGCGTGCGGATCAGCAGCAGCGGCATCAGCATCCGGTGGCTCTTCAATCTCTGTAATGAGCGTTTCCGTCGTCAACAGCAGGCCTGCGATACTGGAAGCGTTCTGCAGGGCGGATCGGACAACTTTTGTCGGGTCAACAACCCCTTCTTCAAGCATGTCGCCATATTCAGATGTTGCGGCGTTGAAACCGTAATTCCCTTCACCTTCCTGTACTTTGGCAACAACGACCGAACCTTCCATACCTGCATTCTCTGCAATAGCACGCACCGGTGAGAGCAAGCTGCGGCGGATAATATTGATCCCTGTTTCCTGGTCTCCCGCCAGTTCCAAATCGCTAAGGGACGCTGCGGCTCGTAAAAGTGCTATACCCCCACCCGGGACTATGCCTTCTTCAACTGCAGCGCGCGTTGCGGCGAGAGCATCTTCAAATCGAGCCTTCTTCTCTTTCATCTCGACTTCCGTAGCCGCACCAACATTGACAACAGCGACACCACCTGCGAGTTTAGCGAGCCGTTCTTCCAACTTCTCTTGGTCATACTCGGAAGCCGTTTCCTCTATTTGCGTCCGAATCTGTGCGACTCTCCCTTCAACGCTCTCTTTGGCACCACTACCGTCAACGATTGTGGTGTTATCCTTGTCAACAACGACACGTCGGGCTGTTCCGAGCATGCCCACAACGATGTTTTCCAGACGGATGCCCGTCTCTTCAGAGATGACTTGACCACCCGTCAGAATCGCGATGTCTTCTAACATCTCTTTACGTCGATCACCGAAACCGGGGGATTTAACGGCGGCAACTTGAAGGTTGCCACGAAGTTTATTCACCACCAATGTAGAGAGTGCCTCCCCTTCAATATCCTCAGCGATAATGAACAAGGGTCTGCCGAGTTGCATCGCCTTCTCCATAATTGGCACAAGATCCGTCACTGTGGAAATTTTCTCGGTATTGATGAGAATATAAGGATTCGCAAATTCGACCACCTGTGCCTGCATGTCAGTTACAAAATTCGGTGAGAGGAAACCGCGATCAAACTGCATACCTTCAACAATATCAACGGCCGTTTCTGAGGTGTTGCCTTCCTCAATAGTGATAGCCCCGTCTTTTCCAACTTTTTCAAGAGCTTCAGCGACGGTAGCACCGATATTACTGTCGTTTGCGGGATCATTGGCTGCGATTGAGGCTACCTGTAAAATCTCCTCATGTGTATTAACAGCACGGCTCCGTGCGGTAATCGCATCAACAGCAGCGACGACAGCTTTGTCTATACCGATCTTCAACTGCATTGGGTCGGCACCGGCAGTGACGTTCTTGAGACCCTCATGCAGGATTTCCTGACCCAGCAAGGTAGCAGTGGTAGTTCCATCGCCTGCGACATCGTTTGTTTTGGTTGCAATAGATTGGAGTAACTGGGCACCCATATTTTCATAGGGGTCCGGGAGTTCAATTTCCTTTGCGACGGTGACACCATCGCATGTTACCAGCGGTGCCCCGAAAGATTTTTGAATGACAACATTTCTGCCACGGGGACCAAGGGTAACCTTCACGGCATCAGCGAGTGTATCCGCACCGCGCTTGAGCGCCACCCTTGCTTCTTCGTCAAAGATAATTTGCTTTGCTGGCATAGAATTCCTCCTGTATCAATTTTAGTGTTGTGATATTGGATATTAAAAATGTTGCGATCACAAATCGCTGCTATAATTATAGCATACACGTCAGACAAAGTCAATTTTATTATAGTGACCCAAGTTGCTATCAATAGGAAACGGTATTGTTTTCTCGACGCGTTTAGCCTCAGCGGGGTTTTACTTGGGTGTTCTTCAACAGGTGTATCCCTAAAAACTTCGGTGAATCTTCACATAGAAACGTATCCGAATACCTATAACGCTTCAGGAAACTTGGGTTATACCGGAACACGAGACAAAAAAAATAGACGAGGTTAGATGAAGATAAAAAAAATAATTCGGTAATGTTGTAGAGATGCCCGGTGCGGTTAGGAAACCGCACCTACCGGGCCTGGTGAAAATTAGAATTACCGATTTAAATACTTAATCTTCATGAAACCTCGCCTGTGAGTAAAGTTTAGAATCCACGTGGGTTTTTCAGAGTTCCCCAAGTGATCGCCAATTTCTGGGCAGGCTCAACTGCGAGTGACGCTTCGCCTAAGGTAATCGCCGGAATGACAGGCACTGACCCTAACTCCAAAGAAATGGCATCTATCGTCTCAATCTTTGTGTCGGGTCGCGGGTTTTCCCACTTTGTGGTAATTAACCCTGCGTGTCCACAAGGAGCGCCTTCCTTCTTTACCCATCCCCAACAGAGTTATCGTCTTGGAGCGCAGCATCGTCGTGGCACCAATCATCCGAGTTAAAACCTGAAATCATCTCAAGCTCTTCCTTCTTACCATCCTGATAATTCATCACGAACTTGTAGCTTGGAACGCCGTTCTGTTCCCACCCGGTCGAGTGGAAAAAATAGATGAACTTTGCCTTACCTCCAACGACGATGTCTTCAACTGCTTTGGGCCATATCGCGGCATTGGTGCCGAAGATAACAATGGCACCGTCTATAATTTGAAACTCTACCTTTCCGTCGGGTCCCTCGAACTCGTCCACCTCACCAATAGGCAATAGTGAAAGGGTGCTATCCCCAGCATTTTTCGTCCACCACTCGTGTTTAACGAGTTTCGTGTTTGCATAGGGCTCTATGTCAACATGTATCCATTCTTCTAACGCTGCAGCGATTCCTACCGAAAAAAGACTGACAACACATAGCAGTGCAATCAGTGTGAATAATTTAAACCCATTTCATAAGAGTTTCTCCTATGTTAATTTAACCCAAGTTGCCACCTATTATAGACATAGCACTCCGCTGGAGTGCAGTCGCTTAAATACACTTTTTCTATTCTCACTGCGAAGCAATAGCACCCCTCTGGGGTGAGGAAAGTGCGTGAAAAATCTCCTTGAACCTCCAAAACTTGTTAGTAGCAACTTGGGATAGTATAACAAGGTTACGAATTGATGTCCATACATTTTGGTGTGTAAATATTTTGTCAAAAGTTCAGGTTGGAAAAGGAAGACGGAAAGGTCTCAAGGGTGGAATGGAAACCTGTTAATTGTCTGAAGCAGGATTTACAGGATTAGTAGATGAACAGGATTATAGGTCTTCTTGATTGCTGAATCGGCACTTAGACACAAACCTTGTATACCCCAAAATCCTCTTTAGTTTCCCCAGCAGGGCGGCATTTGTGTAGTATACGTGAAGCCCAAAGATCCAGGTTCCCCCAGCGGGGAGGCATTTGTAGGGGCAGATGCGACCAAATATCGTGAAAAACCCCTAAATTGACACCTATGGTGCGGTTGCAAACCGCACCTACCGGGCCTGGGGGAACATATCAAACTACCGAAATATTTATTGAAACTTCATCAAAACCGCACCTACCGGACCTGGGTTTCTATAGACATAGCACTCCGCTGGAGTGCGGGAACATATCTGTCATCAGATCTGTGATAGGTTATGTCGAATTTCTCTAAATCCTTAAGTCGAACTCATGTTGTTTCTTATGAAATCACTGCTATGCCGAAACTGCCTTTTCCAATACTTCTTGAAGATAAACATTAAAGTCCAAGTTAAGCCGTTCGGCATTCAAAGCAAGCAGGCAATGCATCTCCGGGCTCATTTGAACCGTGAATTCACCAGAGAAAGGTTTTTCTGGTGTTCTCCCCTGCTCTCTGCAGAATTCAAGGTAACCTTCAACTGATTTTTGCATCTCTTTGCGAAGCTCGGTTACAGATGCCCCGTAGAACGTGATTACGTCATTGGTATTAATCACCGTTCCATGGAAAAGGTCGATTTCTGGATCAAAATTGACAGCCCCTATATAACCTTTGTACTCAATCACAACCTAACCTCAAAGAAAACAAAATTCTCAATCCTTAGATTTTGGCACAGCAGGCTCGACATATAACGTCTTTTCACGCGTGTAATGCACATAACCGGCGACGTTACCCTTGCGCTTCACGACATATCGCGCCCATGTATAATCGACAGGGACATTGCTGGCATGATGTGCCTTGCTGTAGTAGGCAGCGAGTTGCGCGGCTTGTAACAACGTCGGCATCGGGATATCTTGACGATTCTCTGGATTGCGGATGATGACATGTGATCCGTGAATCTGCTTGGCATGAAGCCACATATCGCGCGGCTTGGCAATTTGGCGTAAGAGCAGGTCATTCGACTCACTGTTACGTCCAACGTACATCTGGAAGCCGTTGGCAGAGGTATACCTTCGGAAAGGACCGCCTACCTCCTGTTTCTGCTTACCGCGCTGTGGTGCCTTGAGATAGCCGTTCGCGACAAATTCCGTCCGTAGACGCTGGAGTGCGTCTAAAGTATCAGCGGCTTCTAATTTGGATGCGTACAGTCGAAGTATCCCCTGATCCGCCTCTACATCCGAAACGAGTTGCTGGATACGCGAATGCCCCCGTTTCGCTTTTGTGTATTTCTTGAAATAGGCCTGTGCGTTTTCGGATGGACCTCGCTCCGGATTCAGCGGAATCGACAACATTTCGAGGTCAGGGCTGTAATAGTTTTGCAACGCTACTTGTTTCTGCCCGCGGGTGATAGCATGTAGGTTGGCGAGAAGCAAATCGCCCTGAATGCGGTAATCCTCCGCTTTCTCTGCTCGTCCGAGATCTGCGTGTAGCCCATCTGCTTTTCGCTGGAGTAGATTCTCCTGTTTCGTCAACGCTTGCGTGAGCGTCCGGCGTTCCGAAGCGATATTCTCCTTCAGGGTGACTGCCTCGTAGTATGCGGTGAGCGCATCGCTCATTGTGTCAAACGCTTGAGAAGAAGCATGCGGGAGTTGATGAAGCATCATAGCCGACGCGGCAATCGGTTCATCTCCATCCATGAGCAGTTGTGGTGAAGCGTGCGCCGCATCGAAACAATGGATAACCTGCTGATACGCTTCCCAGAGTCCCGTTTCCGCTGCCCGAGCGACGACCTCTTTTGCGAGTGTTGGACTAAAACCGTCAATTTTGTTAAAGAGTTGCCGCCAACCCACCTCCTTTTGCCCATCGACAAGTTCAGTGAACGTTGCCTCATCCAGCGTCAGTGGATCTAACTTCTCTTGCTGCGGTGGCAAAATATAAGTTTCACCGGGCAAAATCTCTCGATGTCGGCTCATTGTCTCGTCAATACGTTTGAGACTTTCCAAAATCCTGTCGTCGGTTGCGTCGATCAGGATAATGTTGCTATGTTTGCCCATAAATTCGCCGATAATGGCTTTAGGGGAAGGCTGTATCGGTTCATCAGAAACGGGTTGAACGGTTATCTTGAGTATCCGATCCCAACCGAGTTGTTCAATCGCAGTAACAGTGCCACGTCTGAGATGTGTTGCGAGAAAATCCGCCAGATAGGATTGTTTTTGTCCGGGTGGAGGTTTCTGGATGAGGTGGGCGCGGGCATGCAACGAATGTGCGGATAAAGTAAGCCAGTGCGTCTGGACGGCACGACCTACCTTCAATGAAAAGGTGTTGGGGTTCGTCTGTTCAATGTGTCGAATTGTACCGCCCAAAAGGGTTTCACGCAATTCTTGGACAACCAGACGAAGTGCTAAACTATCATACGACATAGTGGAGATCTCACCTCATGAAAACAAAAATACTTTAGGGAAGCCGCGCAACACTGACTCCTAATGATACCGCTTTAAGTTTCGCGCCACGCCGCGGAGTTGTGCTTGAATTTCTGACGGAACACGCGGATTAAATGGACCACCAGTCCCAGCGGCAATATCGTCAAAACCGCTTAAGATCATCGCTTCAACGACGGCAGAATAGTTATAGACTCGCTCGTTCATGAACCGAATCTCCTCAAGCGGTGCTATGTCGGCTTCAATGCGTGCAGAGGTTTCATAATCACCTCTTCGTTGTGCATTGTTAATCTCGTCAGAGGCACGCGCAAAGGCGACTGCGATACCAGAGGTATGCCCTTTCGCACCCAGTTGTGCAGGACGGGTACATCTGTCCCCGATACCCCACATTACAATTCCGCTGTTCCCAACACCTTCGACGAGTGGCACGACATCCTCTTCACCTGTTCCGATCTTCACACCGACAAAATGCGGTGAATCGTTGAGGAGACGAATGACTGCTGCCATGTCGCGTTTCTGACGAAAATAGTAGAGAAACCGCGCCCCACAAGCAGTGCCGTATTTCTCACCGAATTCCATATACTGCTGGTAGATTCCCTCTGGGCTGGAGACCCCCGTCAGGGGCATGAGCAGGTACACATCTGGTGGTCTATGGAGTTCAGACTGTGCTTCAATGAGTTGACCGGCTTGACGGATGGGATTAGGTACAATACCAGACATGAGGATACCGCTATCCCCCATTTGTCGTCCAGTCTGGTCGATGAGACGAAGCTGCTCGGTTTCGCTGATGTGATGAATCAGGCTCGTTCCAGCGATGGCAATGACGCGCTGCCGTCCTTCGTCAAGATAGTTGTTGCGCATCAAATAGTCAATGTTTTTGGCGTGTCCGGTGTAATCAATCTTGTCCCCGTTGAAAGGGACAATAGGAATCGCAGTAACCGAATTGAGTGCATCCAAAAGATTTGATATTTC